ATCGCATAGTCAATGAGATCCACATGGCCCTCATTCCATTTACTACACAAGTTGATTCCCATTTCTGGAAGGATTCTTTGAAGCTTCAAAGGTCGAATTATACATGTGCCGAGATCTATAGTGCTTTGAATCTCATTTATCTGATTAGCTAAGGTAAACTAAAAAAGGCTCATATTAATTAAAACGTGAATACTTATGTAAATAATGTTTTCTCGCATTAATTGGAGAGGTATAAAATATTAATGCCAGAAACTGAGATAATTTATTAGGAGATATGAGTGTTCATCCTTACCTGAAAATTTATGGTGTTCTTTGTGTCTCTGGACTGGGAGTCCCAGGTTCAAATCCAACTGTTCTAGAGGTGTGTAATACGTCTCTGAACATGCTGATTAGAAAATATATGGTGCTCTTTGTAAAAAGTGACTGAGAAGTTTGAGGAGCAATATTACCACCTGACATGTCTAGATGTTGATGATTCATTTCCCGGAGGTCATCACTGATCCCAAGTTGGCTATTTTTAGCTCAATTACACCAAAAGGTACTGCACCCTTCTCACACCTGCATCACTTACAATGAGGAGACTTTTGAAAATCATATATAAAATGGTGTTTATTTGTGAGATCAAATTGGTCTTAATTCTACTTATTGTTATTTTAGTAAGAAAGCAGGTATCATCTACTATGCATTTAGTAAAGAAAAATAAATTCATAACTATTCACCTGGGCTGCTAACCAAAACCTAATGCAATGCTGACAGGATGTTTCCTCTCATGAAGGAATCTCAAACTAAGGGACATAGTTTCAAATTAAGAGATCTTGTACCAGGACTGAGATGAGGAACAAATTCTTCAGAGCACCATTAGTCTTTGGAATGCTCTACTCCACATTATAGTGAAGACTGTGTTACTGAATATACTCAAGACTGAACTGGACAGATTGGTTGATCAACAAGCGAGTGAGGGATTATGGGGGACATATAGGAATGTGGAACAGAAACAAAGTTGCTGGAAAAGCAACTTTGTCTTTGTTCCTGATTTACAGCATCCGCAGTTCTCTTGGTTTTTATACAGGAATGTGGACTTGAATGATAGAGCAGGATTGAGGGGCCAAGTGGCCTCCCCCGCTCTTACATTCTTATTTCTTATGTTCTTAAGCTTGTTGTCCTCTCGTTCTGTTTTGCAGGTGTCATTGAAATCTGTCACACAATTATCCAGGAAAACTCGGAAGTCCAAAAGGACTACTAATGGAGGACTGCATAGCTCAAGATGTCAACTTTTGAAAGAGTCATTCAGATTGTTCTGATAGTCCAGATGAATTTTAAAAAGGCTGACCCTCAACTTCAGGGTGACATTTACTTGGGTTTGTAAGTTTCAGCCACAGGTCTCTGTTTCTGCATTGGCTGATTCTTGACCTGCATATCTTTGTTCACAGATTGCAGGCTGTCCCGCTCAGAATTTGGATCAAGAGCGCAAGATTTGCCACCTGTTCTTGCCCTTTCTGGCACTGCTCTGCCTCATAATTAAGACGTTGTGACTAAAAGTTTGATGTAGGTTGATGGACAAGTTGTTGCTATTCTGAATGATTGGAGCAAGGTCCTTTGAGTCATTAATGTCAATGTTGTCATACTTCAAAGAGAGCTCAAAGAGTTTTTGAAGCACTTTCTTTATCCTCCGCTGAAGCACCAGCCATTTCAGACTTGAGGAAGCAGGACCTGGGAGCCCAGGGGGTGCGATTTTCCGCCATCTGGACACTGCGTACAGTTTCATCGAAGTTGACTGCTCAGGGGTTTGGGAGAGATAGTAGGAACTGCCGATGCTGGAGAATCTGAGATAACACGGTGTAGAGCTGGATGAACACAGCAGGCCAAGCAGCATCAGAGGAGCAGGAAAGCTGACGTTTCGGGTCGAGACCCTTCTTCAGAAATGGGGGAGGGGAAGGGGATTCTGAAATAAATAGGGAGAGAGGGGGAGGCGGATAGAAGATGGATAAAGGAGAAGATAGGTGGAGAGGAGACTGACAGGTCACAGAGGCGGGGATGGAGCCAGTAGAGGTGAGTGTAGGTGGGGAGTTAGGGAGGGGATAGGTCGGTCCAGGGAGGACGGACAGGTCAAGGAGGCGGGATGAGGTTAGTGAGCAGGAGATGTGGGTGGGGCTTGAAGTGGGAGGAATGGTTAGGGAGGCGGGGACTAGCTGGGCTGGTTTTGGGATGCGGTCGGGAGAGGGGAGATTTTGAAGCTTGTGAAGTCCACATTGATACCCTTGGGCTGCAGGGTTCCCAAGCGAAATATGAGATGCTGTTCCTGCGGCTTTTGGTTGGCATCATTGTGGCAATGCAGGAGGCCCAGGATGGACATGTTGTCTGAGGAGTGGGAGGGGGAGTTGAAATGGTTCGCGACTGGGAGGTGTAGTTGTTTGTTGCGAACTGAGCGTAAGTGTTCCGCAAAGCTGTCCCCAAGCCTCCGCTTGGTTTCCCCGATGTAGAGGAGGCCACGACGGGAACAGCGGATACAGTATACCACATTAGCAGATGTGCAGGTGAACATCTGTTTGATGTGGAAGGTCTTCTTAGGGCCTGAGATGGGGGTGAGGGGGGAGGTGTAGGGGCAGGTGTAGCACTTGCTTCGGTTGCAGGGAAAAGTGCCGGGGGTGGTGGGGCTGCAGGGGAGTGTGCAGCGGACAAGGGAGTCACGGAGACAGTGGTCCCTCCGAAGGGAAAAATGTCTTTGGTAGTGGGGTCAGATAGCAGATGGCAGAAGTGTCGGAGGATGATGCGTTGGATCCGGAGGTTGGTGGAGCGGTACGTGAGGACGAGGGGGATTCTGTTTTGGTTGTTATTGCGGGTAGGGGGTGTGAGGGATGATTTGCGGGAAACGCGGGAGACATGGTCGAGGGCATTTTCGACCACTGTGGAGGGGAAGTTGCGGTCCTTGAAAAATGAGGACATCTGGGATGTCCGGGAGTGAATGCCTCATCTCGGGAGGCGGAGGTGAAGGAATTGTGAATGGGGATGGCCTTTTTGCAGGAAGGTGGGTGAGAGGAGGTGTATTCTAGGTAGTTGTGGGAGTCGGTAGGTTTGAAATGGATGTCGGTTTCCAGGTGGATGCCAGAGATGGAGACAGAGAGGTCCAGGAAGGACAGAGAGGTATCAGAGATGGTCCAGGTGAACTTAAGGTTGGGGTGGAAGGTGTTAGTGAAGTGGATGAAATGTTCGAGCTCCTCATGGGAGAACGAGGTGGCAACGATACAGTCATCAATGTAACGGAGGAAGAGGTGGGGGATAGGGCCAGTGTAGCTTTAGAAGAGGGATTGTTCCACGTATCCTCCAAAGAGGCAGGCATAGCTTGGGCCCATGTGGGTACCTATGGCCACCCACTTTGTAGGAAGTGGGAGGAATTGAAAGAGAAGTTGTTGAGGGTGAGGATGAGTTCGGCTAAGTGGATGAGGGTGTCAGTGGAGGGGGACTGGTCGGGCCTGCGGGACAGGAAGAAGCGGAGGGCCTTTAGGCCATCTGCATGGGGAATGCAGGTGTATAGGGACTGGACGTCCATGCTCAGGGGATTGGCCTGACTGCTTGTGGAACAGGTTTCAAGAAGGACACTTGCTTTAGCTCGCCAGTCCCTTCACTGAATCCAGAGAATACAATGAAGATATTGTTAATGGAACCCCTCTGTCGCTCTCATTTGTTGCCAGTACACAGCCCCGATTCCAGTACAGGAGTGCGGTACAGACAACTTCTCTATACACAAGATTTTTGTTGTCTTACAGAGGTCTTTGTTGGGAAACTCTTGTTGCTGTAGATTGTAGAATTAATATTCATCTTATCAAATATTAAAGATAACATGCATATACTTGAAAACAGATAAGGAATGCTCCTAATGTCCTAATTATCATTTTTTTCAATCATTTAATTTTTATTCTACGCTCTGTGTTAATACATTCTCAAAAATGGTCACTGAGTGAAATTAGGAGGGACGTCATTGGACTTGTAAGACAAGAGGTCTCGACTAATACTCTGGGGATACAGTTGAAATCCCAACACAGCAGCTGGTGGAACTTAAGTTCAATTAATGAATTTGCAAACTGAAAACTATTCTCAGTAATGTTTGTTATCATAAAAACCTATCTGGTCACTACTGTTATTTAGGGAAGGAAATCTGACCTTCTGTAAGCCACTCATTTCAAGAGCAACTAACACTGGCCAAGCAAAAATATAAAGAGGCAGAGCTACAGATAACATGCACTGATCATGGGTTATTGCGCTTGACCTTGTACTGAACGGTACAATTAAGACTGCTTTCATTGCTATTGTGCCAGGTTGCTTCAACCTTTAACTCTGCTGAATATAAGACCATAAGATGTAGGAACAGAAGTAATGCAGACATTAACCTAAAATTTGCTCGATTAGCCAAAATGAGGTTATCAGCAGAATTACCTGCATTTCTCTGTTTTCAATCCTTCAAATAATGAATTATCCTTGCCAACACTGCTCATTTGTAAGTAATGAGCTAAGAAATATAAATAAATCTCATAATCCACAACATCCTTTTAAAAGGAAGCTTCAAAGGAACTCTGATAAATGGCTTCACAAAATGTACTCCATATTTTTCTAAGATGCACAGGCAAATAAAAAGCATGATCTGTGCAAAATAACTACCTCAATATCATTCAATCTTCCATTAATTGTCTAAGAATGGTGCTGGTTTCCATCAACCAGGAAGTGGTATGTAGTGGGGAGGTGACAGCCTAGTGCTATTATTACTGGACTGTTAATCCAGAGATCCAGGTAACGTCCTGGTGGTTGAATTCCACCATGGAAGATGGAATGATGACCATGAATCCATTGCTGATTGTTGGAAAACAATCTGGTTCACTTATGTCCTTTAGGGAAGGAATCTGCCATCCTTACCTGGACTGGCCTTCATGTGACTCCAGACAGTAATGTGATTGACTCTTAACCACCCTCTGGGCAATTAGAGATGGGCACTAGCCAGTGACACCCTCATCCCGTGAACGAATAAAAAAAAATTCGTTAATTGAGCAATAGTAGGATTGTTAGGTGAGGAACCAAGGAGAACCGAGGTTTTTTCTTGTCAGGATTGAGCAATGGAAAGATATCACCACCCAATTTTACAAATTTCCTGATTAGGTAACAGAGTATAGAGTCATAGAGTCATAAAGCTGTACAGCTTGGAAACAGACCTTTCAGTCCAACTCGTCCATGCTGACCCGATATCCTAAATTAATCTAGTCCCATTTGCCAGCATTTGGCCCATATCCCTTTAAACCCTTCCTATTCATATACCCATACAGATGCTTTTTAAATATTGTAGGTGAATCATTCCTGCCAAACACTTACAGAGACTGTGAAGCAACTAAAGTGAGAAACTCTGTTACACAAAAACTCTACTGAATATTCTTATTAGTTTAAGTATAAGTTTAAAAATATTAAGAGATTTGCAGTTTGGTTACCATTATCAAAATTGGTTGCATAATCTAATAATAATGCTATTGCCATTAATGATCTGATACTGAAATATATTTTTAACATCCATATTATTTAAAAATTACTCGTAATGACTGCTTCTCAACCATGTTATTGTGAGAAAATCAAAAATGTGCAACATATTTCTCTAAAATTGAAAGCATAAAGTAATGATCATGCATTGTTGTGATGTGATATTGAACAAATTTTAAAAGGGAAGCTATGATAGAAAGAAATGGGAGAGGGGAGATGTGGAAATTATAAATACGAATGAAAAATAACTATATAAATTTGAAATAAAAATCACAAGATCAGCTGAAAAGGCAAAGCACAAACTGTTTCAGTTTCAGAAGACATTATTACAGAAATCTGGTCCCCTGAAACTTCCAGTAGGCAATTTGTTTTTTTAGTTATGTACCAGAGCAAGTTCTGTGCTACAAAGATGACCCTTAATTTTGAAACAGCACCCCATAGTTCTGGACTCACCCTCAAGGAGAAACATCCTTTCAATATCCGCCTTTTGGGATCTTACACACTTCATTCATCAACTCACAAGCTTGTAAACTCCAGTAGAAACAACCCCAGCGTGTCCAACCTATCCTTAGAAGACAATCCACTCATTTAAGGTATCAGTTTAGTCAATCTCCTCCAATGCATTGACATCCTTTCTTAAGAAGACAAAGATTGCACAAAGTATTTGAAAGATGGTCTCAATAAAACCCTGTATAACTGAAGTTTAACATCCTCATTTTTATGTTGGATTCCTCTCCTAATAAAGGAAAGCATCCCATTAAACTTCTCAATTACATGCTGAACCTCCATACTAACTTTTTGTGGCAACTGCAGAAAAACACCTAGTTCCCTATGTGTCTTGGAATTCTGAAGTCATTCTCCATTTAAGCATTACTCTGCATTTTCATTCTTCCTCCCAAAGTGAAGAATTTCACATTTTCCCACAATATATTTCATCTTTCAGACTTTTAACCACTCACTCAACCTATCTATATCCATCTGCAAACTCTTTACGTCTTCTTCACAAAGTACTCTACCATTTTATGTCATCTGCAAATTTAGCCTCCCTCTCTTCATGAATAGAAAGGTTATGTTTGCTACTTTCCAGTTCGTTGGAACCTTCCCTGAATCTAGGGAATTAATTAAATTGGATGAAGGTTGACATCTGTGATGCAGGGGACCTCAGGAGGATGGATCATTCTCTTCTGACTGAAGATGGGTGCAAATGCCTTAGCCACGTCTTTTGTAATGATGTACTATACTCTTCATAGGATTCATTGCAGTCCCAACAGTGACCACTATTGTGCCCTGGCAGTGATGGGGCTATTCAGCTGCTGGCCAATCAGATTGCCCGACATCTTATTGGTCTGAGACTTCCCCGAGCCAAGAAAATGAGAGCTACATTCACACCTCAGTAAGGCTGTCCCTAGTGCATTTTCAGTGCGTTGTTGACCGATTGTTTCGTGGGGCGAGATAGGTGAGGAGCAATATGTTCTTCCAGGGTAAAATTTGCCCTGTCATCTAAATGCATAGCATCAGTTTCTACCGAGGTGCTGATGATGGCTAGCTTCACCTCACTTCCACTATCTCCTGGCACCTCTATGTCTTTAACTTGTCAGATGCTGACATGCAGTTCTTGATGAGCAGAAATTTTCTCCAATTAAATAACAGGATGACTACTCCTACTGCTAACTCCACCCCTCTCTGTAGCAAATGTCCACTTTCACCTCAATAACATCATCCGAGTCTGTCCCTATCTCAGCTCACCTTCCATTGAAACCTTCATCCATGTCTCTGGAATTAACCACTCCGATACATTCCTGGATGGCTTCCCATGTTGAAATATTTGAAATATTTGGAAGTCGTCAGAGGTTTCTCTGCTCGTGCCTTCATTTTAACCAACTCCCATTTACCTTTTCCTGGTCTGCTTTGGTTCCCAATTATGCCACTCATCACATTTAAAGTTCTCAATCTTGTTTTCAATGCCCACACTACAAAAGGCCTCAATTCTCCCTCACTCTAATCTCCTGCAACCTTATAGCCTTCAATATATCAGAGTTAATTCAATTCTGGCATTCGAGTATTCCAGATTTTTAATAGTCCACCATCAGTGTTTGTGTCTTTAGTTGCCAAGGCCCAAAGCTCTGGAATTTCATCCAAGAATCTCTCTGCCCCATCTCTTATTTAAGATATTCCTTAAAATCTGATTAACAAAGCTTTTGATTATCTCTATTATTTATCTCCTTATGTGGCTCAGCATCAAATTTTGCCTGATAATGCTCCTTTTGGATGTTCTACTATGTTAAAAACATTGTGTGAATGCAAGTTGCTCTTGTTAATATCTTATTACTATCATAGCTTAAAATTAACCAACAAAAACAATTCACCCTAATTGCTATTACATTATAGTAGACTAAACAAACCATATTTTGCACAACCGTACCTGCACATTTTCTCGAAGATCAGTTGCTTCCTTTAGTTGTTGAACAACAGTCTTGAATATTTCATCTATAGATTTTATCAAGATTGTTCTCATGCTAGCATACTCTCTTGACCTTTTAGCTTTTCTCACAGAAAGGCCACGTTTGTGAGGTTTTCCTCCACCTCTCCTGTTAGTGATTGCCACATGTACGAATAATGAGGCATATGATAGAGTTTCACCCGTCAGCGACTGAAGTGGCACATGTCTGTATCCTGGTTGTAAGCATTCAAAAGGAATCGTATACTGAGCAATAAACTCATCTCCAATGTAGTCATCATCGAGAACCACAAATCGCACCATTGCCAACTCGGGGAGGTTAATCTGGAATTCAAAACTCTCATCAAAAATGGGGTTCTCTCCATTTTGGTTAACCGTTTTAGTTCTTTGTTCAGCACAGTCTGCAGGTATTCCGTGGATCTCCACATACACATAGGGATCTACTACATCACCTTTAGAACCTGAGCCTTTAGGCTTTGGAAAATTTTGGCCACTAATGATTTTGATGTGGAGGAGTTGAGGAGAAACACCTGGCACTGAATCTTTAGTATTGGCACTGAAATAAGAAACTTCTTCTCTCATAATGGCAGGACGAAGCACGTATCCACAATTCCCATTCTGACGGAACCAACCAATGTTAAGGTCCATCATTAGACCAGGCGTCTGGTAATTCATTGCCACTACTTGGCAGCCACATTTCCAAAAGTCCTGAGGATTCATGTTGCTTGAATCTATTCTCATTGGATTTGGATATATTCTGGCCAGGAAACGCTTATTGTAATTTACAAAGTCCTTTGGGTATTCGTTGGCAAGTTTAGTAGCAGTTACTTCATTGAATGAGCAGAATTCCCAAAATTTCTGATTTTGAAGTGAGTCTGTAAAGTCTTTAAACAGTACAGATTTACAAAGAGTCACCATGTCTGAGAGTTCTTTGCAAAGCTTAAATTTTCTGTTTGGAACTATGTTCTGCTGGTCTGTATTCTCATTTGACTCCCTTTTTGCCATTTCTGCACCTTCATCTTCATCTGTAATATCACCTGCAGAGCCAGTGAAATTTGCTGGCAGTTTTTTTGCCTTTAGCAAAATTTTCTTCTTAAGGACTTCAGGGGAAGGTAGGTAACTGTCATCAACAGAGGGGGGTTTTGTGTACAGTTTGTCTCCAAAAGTTTGTTTCATATGTTGAATCATCACCTTCTGCTGTTTTAATGAACAGTGATTTTCTAAACACAAAATCAAAGGGTATTCCGATGCAACAAAAGCATATTTGTTAATTACGTCAATGACCTGGCGGAAGACAATCTGTGATGTCATAGTATGACCTGTATAGATGACTGGTTCATTGTCGGCACCATCCCATGCATCCACCTCAATACTTCGACACCCCATTTTCAGAGCACGAATATATCCTGTGATATCTGAGGGGCCTTGGAACTGATCCTCAATCAAGTAGGTGTTATGTGATGCATTTATGTAATAATGAGACACTGGTTGTGTCATGTCCTGACAAACTTTCTTGTGCTCTGGATCAAATATATGGCATTCAGGTGAAATGAGGTACTTGGTAAAACCATCCAAGGAAAGCCAACCTCTTTCCTGTCCTTCTCTTGATGGCTCATATTTCTGAATGATGTTCATGCTCACTTGTTCTGTAACATGTGGCATTCCCTGCTCAGCTTCCAAAAACATCATCAGGTCCTTGGAATCTAGAAATTCTTTATTGCTTGAAAATTGGACTAACAAAAAATATATTTCTGGTCTCGTGCAAAGCTCATGATAAACTTCTATAAGTTCCTCTTTGATAACATCAGTTCCTACTTTTTCTTTTGCTTTGTGCAATTCTTTGAACTTCAATTCGATTTTGGCATTTTTCAGTCCCGAGTTCAGATTCTTAACAAGCTGTACAGCTTTGTTAAATGGTATATGTCCTACACCTTTTGTATCAGCTGCAGCAAAAACACTTGAAAGCCATGATGTCCGCATGTTATTGTGACTGCTCTCTATCATGTCTAATGTGTGTTTCCCATAGGAGATCAGATACCGTAGGCCTGTAACCCAAATATTTGCTACATCTGCAGAATTAGCTACAAGGTCTAATGTCTCATAGCTTTCTCCATAAATTATTGAAAATGCACTGTCTTCTGAAATATGATCATAAATAGCATTGGTGCGAAACATTTCTGTATTTTTTCCTGTTCGAACTTCTTTGATTGAAGTTATGTCGATTTTTGCTTTATCTGATTCTTTCTTTGAAGGATCCCATCGAAGAGATTGCATATCTGCATCCAAAAGAAAATAGCGGTGATAGACTCTGGAATTTGAGCGAATTTTTTTAAGTTCAGAGCCTTCAATCATTGAATTGATACAATCACTGGCACTACTGATCTTCTTTTCAGTTGGCATGCTGCTGAAGGAGACTGTTTTCTTTCTCTCCTTTCGTTGTCTGGTGCCATCCTGAAAAGAGGAAAGAGTTCTATAAATAAAAATGCTTATGTGCAATATCTGAGATAACACATGCAAACTTCTGTTCCCTTTGTTTGGAGAATGGATGGAAGGAGCAAACATGTGGAACTGTGGCATAACTGATACTACAAACAACAAAGGTAAGCACATTTTTTTCTCCAAAGTATGTCAAGTATGATCAGTTTAGCGGAGTAACTTTGCACATTGAGAATGGTGAGATGTAGGCTTGATTCTCATTTCTCTTATTTCAATCTGTGATCTCAATAGGATCACTGTGGGCATTGTAAAGCAAAGGATGGGTAATTCTCAATGTTGAGGAAGAGGCAGAAATGCCAATCACTAGGAGTTCTAGCAGTGAGCAGTCCAGAGCAGCATAAGTGAAAAACTGGCAGTACTTGCTTGATCCCTTTCCTAAAGGAGAATCCAAAAGGTCACACAGAAAGACAAACAAAGGAAACATTATCATAAGACCATAAGAAACAGAAATAGGCCACTCAGCTCATGGAATATGTTCTGTCATTAGATACTATCATGGCTGTCCTGATAATCCTCAACTCCACTTCCCAGCCTTTTCCCCATAATCCTTGATTCCCTAACTGATTAAAAGTCTGTCAGTCTTAGGAGTGAATAAACTTAATGACCCAGCCTTCACAGGCCTCTGTGGTAAAGAATTCCACAGATTCGCTAACCTTTGAAAGAACAAATTCTTTCTTATCTCTGTCCTAACTGAGTGGCCCCTTACTTTGAGATTGTGCCTTCTAGTGCTAGACTCTTCCATAAGGGGAAACAACCACTCTGCATCCACCCTGTCAAGTCCCCTAAGAATCTTGTATATTTCAATAATCATTCTTCTAAACTTCAATGATGTCAAGCCCTACCTAATCAACCTCTCCTCAGAAGAAAATCCTTCCAGATCAACCTAATGTATGTTCTCTGAACTGCCTCAATGCCAGTATATATCTCCTTAAATAAGACGACCAAAACTATTCACAGTATTGCAGGTGTAGTATGACTAGTACCTTTACAGGTTTAGCAAGACCTCTGTATTTTCATACTCCAGTTCATAGAATCATACAATCCCTACAGGTGGAAACAAACTCTTTGGCCCAACATGTCCACGTGGACCCTCACAGCATCCCACCCAGACCCATCCACCTATAACCCAACTAACCCACACATCCCTGAACACAATGGGAAATTTAGCATGGCCAATCCACCTAGCCTGCACATCTTTGGACTGTGGGAGGAAACCGGAGCACCAGGAGGAAACCCCATGCATACACAGGGAGAATGTGCAAACTCCACACAGACAGTCGCCCAAGGCTGGAATTGAACCCGGGTTCCTGGTGCTGTGGGGCAGCAATGCTAACTACTGAGCCACCGTGCCACCTTTGAAATCAAGGGCAGTAGTCCATTTGCCTTCTCTATTACCACAGAACTTCGATGCTAGCTGTTTACAATTCATGTGTGCTGCAGATTTATGCAGTGTGTCCCCACTTAAAAGTATTCAGCTCTTCTTCCTGCCAACATGGATAACATCACACTTTCCCACATTATATTCCATCTGCCACATTTTTGCCCACTCACTTAACCCGTCTCTATCTCTCCGTCAACCATCTACTAACGTGGGGATAGTATATTCACTTTGTCATCCAAGTCATTAATTATACATTGTAAATAATTGTGGCCCCACATTGATCCCTGTAGCACTCCCCAAGTTACAGGTTGCTACGTTGAAAATGCTCTCTTTATCTTAGGTCTCTGCCTTCTATGAGTAAGCTAATCCTCTATCTTTTCCAAAATACTACTCCTATCACCATGGACTGTTTTGTAATTAAGTAGCCTTATCTGTGGTAATTCATTGAATGCCCTTTGGGAATCCAAATGAGTTACATCTACTAGCTCTCCTTTATCTAGCCTGCTTGTTACCTCCTCAGAATGAATTGTATTCAGTTTATCAGGCATGATTTCCCCTTCACGAAGCCATGCTGACCACCATTTTCATTAAAAAGAAGTTAACATTAAAAATTAGAGGCTGCACAATATCAAATACAGGTAATTACTTCTTAAAATAAAAAATAAATCAATGAATGTTGGTGGCCCAATACAATACTTTGAATGGATAGTATTGAAGAATCTTAAATATAGGTACACTCTCTCAAACCCGATTACCCAAAAATTGGTGTTATCCGAAAACTGGACATTTGTTGACTGATGTTTTGATTTTAAACAGGTTACACTGATTTAGGAAATTTGGGTGAGGCACGTTAGAGTATTAAATCCAATATGTGAAAAGTGAATCAATATCAGAGCTATATGAACATTAACCTAAAGTGCTTTTCACTCTTTCAATTGAATTACCAAGTCCATTATTCACTGGGTTCAGGATTTCTGATTTGAATAAACATCGCCTTTTTTTTCTGAAAACCAATAATACCCGGCACAGTTGGAGGCAACTGTACTTCTATTTCATAACATTCAAATTATAAAAGGACCTTGTAATTATTGTTCCCTCTCATTTAAATAGAAAGAGCACTGTATGATCAGAAAAAGAGCTCCTCAACCTTCTAATAGTTGAATAAATGTTTTGAAGAAAAACTAAAGGCTGGGTATTAATATGAATAAAAACTGAAAGAACTGCGGATGCTGTAAATCAGGAACAAACACAGAAGTTGACAAACCTGCTGAGCTTTTCCAGAAACTTCTGTGTTTGTTCCTGGGTATTGACATGATTTGTACCTACTTATGACACGACATTCAGCTGCCTATTCCAGCAGCTTGCACTGTATATATCTAGAGTTACACATTGAGAACAAACGTTTGTGGTGGCACAGTGGCTCGGTGGTTAGCACTGCTGCCTCACAGTGCCAGGGAGTTTGCACATTCTCCCCATGTCCATCTGGGTTTCCGCCGGTTGCTCCAGTTTCCTCCCACAGTCCGATGGCATGCAAGTTAGGCGGACTGACCATCTAAATTGCCCATAGTGTTCAGGGGTATAGGTAGGTTAGACATGGAAAATGCAGGATTACAGAGCTGGGACGGGTCTGGATGAGATGCTGTTTGGAGAGTTGATGTGGACTTGTTGGGACAAATGGTCTGTTTCCACACTGTAGGGATTCTATGGAAAAACAATTTCACACAATTTGTCACCAGCACGCTATGCACTCAAACAAGAATACTATTTTTGTTCATATTGAACTAAATGTGAAAAATATTACCAGAATAAAAATATAACTGCTGCTTTTATTTTTATTATTAAATAGCAATAGAATAGCAAGTAGAGCTCTGTGGTACTAGTAGAAGTCACAAGATAAATAGATATAATTTCCAATGCTGTGAACAAGGTTATGTCTCAGTAAGTTCCACAAAACTCCATAGGCACCATTCAATTATTGCTGTAAATTTCAACAGAAAAGAATGAGTAAGTGGCTTATGCTCAAAAGTGGATTACATTAATATTTAATTGAGAAGTGCATGCATTGTGCCAGAGAAGAAATTTTCGATTTGAATAATGTTTGTTTCTTTCAGGTGATGCAAGTTGACACAACTGTCCTGATGTATTTAATAAAAACTGAAAGAACTGCGGATGCTGTAAATCAGAAACAAAAACAGAAGTTGCTGGAAAAGCTCAGCAGGTCTGGCAGCATCTGTGAAGAAAAATCAGAGTTAACGTTTCGGGTCTGGTGACCATTCCTCAGAACTAGTAAATTAATAACTAGTGCAATGAGTTTCTTATCATTTTTATTTGTTTTCTTGATTTTCAGTCTTACTCCGTGTCCTCAGTTTAAGACAGTAAGCTACAGAAAAACTTTGAGTAAGAACTAGAACCTATTAAACAATTTGCAGAACATGTTGAATTATAGAACTAATTTGCATTATTGGTATAGAAAAACTGGTGCTGCCGGAGTGAACAATTTCAAAAATTATCAAAGGTTCATAAAATTATCAATTGATTCAACAAAATTGCAATGTTATTCATTTGATTTTGCGACAAGATAAAGATAGGCATATTCTATATAAATCACTCAGTGGATTTTGTAAGTAAAGCTCATTCTTCTGGGATTACCAAAAGTACAGTAAAGAATTAGACAATTACCACTTTCAGTTAGCCTAGATTATAGTCACTACAGACAAATTAAACCATGCTTACAAGGAAAACTCCACTGTAGTACTGTTTGATCTTTCATCTACAAACAAGCAAAAAAAAGAATCTCCCACTATTTGTTTCGTCTCCCCACCTTAGAGCAGACCATATGTGAGCAGTGAATACAGTAAACTAGATTGAGTGGCGCAGGTAATTTGCTGCTTCGCCTGGAGGGTGTGTCTGGGATCTTGGATAGTTAGGAGAGAAGAAATAAACAGGCAGGTGTTCACATTCTACGATTGCATGGGACGGTGCTGAGGGGATGTGAGGAGGCATTTGGAGTGGAAGAGAAATGGAACAGGGTGTCCTGGGGGGAACGTTCCTATAGAAGTCTGGCAAGGGAGGGGAGGGGAATATGTGTCTGGTGGTAGCATCCTGCTGGAGGTAGCAGAAATGGTGGAAATGATCTTTGGATGTGGATGTTGGTAGAGTGGTAAGTGAGGACCAGGGGGACCCTATGCTGTTGTGGGAGAGAAGAGGAGGGGTGAGGGCTGAAATGTGGGAGATGGGTTGGACACGCCTGAGGGCCCTGTCAACCATGATGGTGGCAAATCCTCGGTTGGAAAAGAAGTTGGACTTTTCAGAGGCCCCATTGTAGAAGCTAGCATCATTGGAACAGATACAACGGGGACTGAAAAACTGAAAGAATGGAACAGAGTCTTTACAGAAAGCAGGGTGTAAAGATGTATAGTCAAAGTAACTGTGGTAGTTGGTGGATTTGTATTGGATATTGGTGGCCAGCAACCCAGAAATGGAAACAGATGTTGAGGAAGAGAAGAGAGGAGTCAGAGATGGACCAGGTGAAGGTGAGAGCAGGGTGGAAATTGGAAGTAAAATTGATAAT